CCCCAAAACCCCAAAACCCCAAAACCCCAAAACCCCATCATTAGAGAATATTACACTTTTTCTCAACAGAGGATTTTAAGGAATTTAAAAACGAATTTAAATCTAACTTATTATCTAAGCAGCAATTTATTTGATATTGATCAGAATTAAAAATAATGGAGTCCTGGTTAGCAAGGCTAAAGCAAAAGAGAAATATAATGATATGCTTTCTTTACGAGTTCTGTGGAGCAGCATTTGTTACATATGCTTACAATCTCTCTTATTAAGAAAGAGGTTAAGCTATGTGTAATCCTCTAATTCGTGGGTTTGCTTATTTTATTGGTTGGATGATTGCCTGTTCAGTCTCAGGAGCTCATTTTAACCCGGCTACATCACTAGCTGTTTTCATCTATGAACGATCGTGGTCTAACTTGAAGACCTTGATAGGATATATTTTCAGCTAATTCTTAGGCGCTTTTGCTGGCATTTTTGTTGCTTATCTGCTTTCTAGATATTATGGTGCTGAACTCTATCCAAATAGATACATCATTAATAGTTCCAAGAATGATTTATACTTTGATGAAGATGGAAATATCAAATATCAAAGAATTATCTTCTAAGAAATATTCTAAACCTTTATCTTTACTCTTGTATTTTTGATTATGAAATACAGACATACATTTGCAAACACTGACGATATTGTAAAAGGCATTATACTAGCTTTTACACTTTATGTTGTTTATACTATGGATATTAAGGCCGGCGAGAGTTTAAATCCTGCATTTGCTCTTGCTGAAAGTTGCCTTATGTTTGCCAGACAGCATTTCATCCAAGACAAGGAATTACTTGGGGATGTTGTATGGGTTTATTTGCTATTTCCCTTTTTGGGATCCGCTCTTGCCTCTCTTCTCTTCATTTTAATGGACAAGCATGAAAAGAATCTGTCAAAAATAATGAATGGTGATGATTGAAAGTAGCTGAGATATAATCTGGTCGGTTTTATTTAGATGGAATTTGTTATTTAGTTTCTTAAGATCCTTGTTGAATCAATTTTAGGGGTTTTGGGGTTTTGGGGTTTTGGGGTTTTGGGGTTTTGGGG